TTAGGACCGTTATAGTTACGGCCGCCGTTTACCGGGGCTTAGATTCGCCGCTTCGGATAAATCCTAACGGCTCCTCGTAACCTTCCGGCACCGGGCAGGCGTCAGACCCTATACGTCGTCTTACGACTTCAGCAGAGTCCTGTGTTTTTGATAAACAGTCGTTTGGGCCAATTTTCTGTGACCAGCAAAAGCTCAGCAGGCAAGCTGCATCACCTACGCTGGCACCCCTTCTCCCGAAGTTACGGGGCAATTTTGCCGAGTTCCTTAACCATGGTTCTCCCGATCGCCTTGGTATGCTCTACCCACCCACCTGTGTCGGTTTGCGGTACGGGCTCCTCAGAACTTCCTAGAGGTTTTTCTTGGAAGCATGGGCTCACTCACTTCACTCAATCGCTTCGTCCGTCTCCTCAGCCGTCACGAGAAGCGCATTTCACTACTTCTCAGCCTACGAGATCTCACGGGGACGTCCAGAACCCCGCTGAGCTACCCTTCTCCGTCACCCCATTGGTATAACGCTCTTTTGGAGGTGCAGGAATATCTACCTGCTGTGCATCGACTACGCCTTCCGGCCTCGCCTTAGCTCCCGACTGACCCTGGGAGGATTAGCCTTGCCCAGGAAACCTTGGGTTTACGGCGGAGATGTTTCTCACATCTCTCTCGTTACTCATGCCAGCATTCTCACTTCTAGGCGGTCCACAAAAGGTTACCCTTCTGCTTCACCCCACATAGAAAGCTCCCCTACCACTAGTACTTACGTACTAATTCGCCGCTTCGGTACCATGCTTAGCCCCGTATATTGTCGGCGCATGTCCACTCGACCAGTGAGCTATTACGCACTCTTTAAATGAATGGCTGCTTCTAAGCCAACATCCTGGTTGTCTGGGCAAACGCACATCCTTTACCACTTAGCATGGATTTCGGGACCTTAGCGGGCGATCTGGGCTGTTTCCCTTTTGAACACACAGCTTAGCCCACATGTTCTGACTCCCGAGTTCTGGACCGTCGGCATTCGGAGTTTGATTGAAGTTGGTAGGCGGTGAGGCCCCCGCGTTCATTCAGTGCTCTACCTCCGACGGTAAACACTCGAGGCTAGCCCTAAAGCTATTTCGGGGAGAACGAGATATCTCCAGGTTTGATTAGCCTTTCACTCCTATCCACAGGTCATCCCCTCAGATTTCAACCTAAGTGGGTTCGGCCCTCCACGAAGTCTTACCCCCGCTTCAGCCTGCCCATGGATAGCTCACCTGGTTTCGCGTCTACGACATACGACTCAAACGCCCTCTTAAGACTCGCTCTCGCTGCGGCTCGCTTTTAAGCTTAACCTCGCCGCATATCGTAACTCGCTGGCTCATTCTACAAAAGGCACGCCGTCACCCCGCAAAGCGAGGCTCCGACTGCTTGTAGGCACGCGGTTTCAGGTACTATTTCACTCCCCTCACGGGGTACTTTTCACCTTTCCCTCACGGTACTTGTTCACTATCGGTCACAGGAGAGTATTTAGGTTTGGAGGGTGGTCCCCCCAGCTTCCCACCGGGTTTCACGTGTCCGGCAGTACTCAGGAACTTGCATATACAGTCCATGCAATTTCGCATACGGGACTCTAACCCTGTTTCGTTGGCCTTCCCATACCATTCTGCTATCACATGGATTTGTAACTGTACGAGGTGTCAGTAGCCACCTCACAACAAGCCCTACAACCCCGGTCGGTGCAACCTCTACCAAGTATATGCTGCCGCCGGTTTGACCTATGTTCCCGTTCGCTCGCCACTACTAGGGAAATCTCGGTTTGATTTCTTTTCCTCTGGGTACTTAGATGTTTCAGTTCCCCAGGTTACCCCTTATACGCCTATGTGTTCAGCATATAAGCGATGGGAGATGAACCCCATCGAGTTTGCCCATTCGGAAATCCACGGGTCAAAGAGTATGTGCCTCTCACCGTGGCTTATCGCAGCTTGTCACGTCCTTCATCGGCTTCCTGTGCCAAGGCATCCACCGTGTGCCCTTACCATCTTTTATCCACCGATATAATCGGTGATGGTCTGGATAATACACTAGAACATTACTGTTCAATGCGATCAGATGCGATCTTCTTGAAAGAAAATCTTGTTAAACACGCTATGCAGCTGTCAAGGTACAACGAGGCGAACCCTCGAAACCGGACGCTGCAATCAAAAGTAAAACGAGAAAATGACATGCGGGAATGACGGGACCGCTCCGTATATTATGTCTTCTCTAGAAGAGACTATTCTCCCTAGAAAGGAGGTGATCCAGCCGCACCTTCCGGTACGGCTACCTTGTTACGACTTCACCCCCCTTACCCTCCACACCTTCGGCATCTCCCTCCCTTGCGGGTTAGGCCGACGACTTCGGGTGCAAACGACTCGGGTGGTGTGACGGGCGGTGTGTACAAGGCCCGGGAACGCATTCACCGCGGCGTGCTGATCCGCGATTACTAGCAACTCCGACTTCATGGAGGCGAGTTGCAGCCTCCAATCCGAACTGAGGCCGGCTTTGAGGGATTCGCTT